GTTCTTGCGTCTCTGCTCTGTGTCGCAGTATTTGTCGCCGCTGCATCGGTGGTGTTAGCTGTCGCAAGGGTGATCAGACGACGTGAAGCGTCAAATGAGATCACCTGGCAACGAACGGAGGTTTGTGGCTTGGCATAGGCAATGGCCAAAAGAGTTGGAAGAAAACCAGTCGTTTGACATTTGAGGGAAATTTTGATCTACTTAAGGAAATCGACGCATATGCAATGCGTAAACCAGGAGCGACCAGCTTTGGACACATTAATCGGGCAATGACTTCAACTATGGAAGCGCCTATCTACGCTTCGGCAGACGGTTACGAAACGCCGATCCATCTGGTGAGTTCTCTTTAATGTATCCTGCAGGAAAATCGATTTTTTTTACATTTTTCCTCGTCGCGAGCGTTTACAGAAGCTCATGTGCATAACTTCACGCGGAATATTAAAATTCTGAAGAAAAACAATTCACGAGAATTCTCCTTCCAAGCCAGTTGCTGGACATGGAGGTGGAGCCAAGAGGACTACGAAAAGACGTGTATACATAGATTGTTACGTGTAAAGTCACGCATTGTAGGATGTAAATAATGATAAGTATAAAGCCTTGTAAGTAAACCTGTTGACGCCATAAACACGTTAAATTTCATACATTCATACGTACGCGTTTAAAACGTCTACACGTCAGTTTCACGCTTGAAAAAAAGCTAATGACGCTTACTAGATTTTTAGGCGACGACACACCAAGAAACAATTGAAAGTCCCGCGTTCACATACTTGTGGAACTTGATGCGCGAGAATTTAAGCTAATCATATTTATCCAATTTTTTGATTTTATAAACAAAATAAGCACATTAATCTGTCGTTATTCTCGCAACTCTAAAGAAGTAAACAGTCTAGTGTAACGTTTCGTGGGAAAAATAGTTCTGCAGTTCCCGTGCCCGCCACCATAACCTTTACATGATATTTTTGTCAATTCCTAAGAGCACATGATGCCATAGCGCTTCACGAAGCATGTCCCCCGACTATGAGAAGAATGGATAGCAGCGACCAATACGAAGAAGCTTAGCCGCGGCGCCGAGTGATGGGGCGGCCCTACAACACCTGATTGGTCCTCCGTTTTCCTAGGGCTACTATCGAATCTAGGATAAACCAATATAGCATCAATCAGTATCAAACGGTTCCACAGTAATAGGGTTAAGGCACATTCCACGATCAAACACGTGGTGGAATTCTTCACGGAGAATCTCAAAAAAAAAAAAGAATTCTTATAGAAGACAACAACACGCAAGATGAAATCGGCGATGAAACATCAAGAACGAGCGATATCGTGCTGGCAGTTCGACGTAAGTTACCGCAACCGGCTCTTTTGACTGGTGTCTTCAAAAATCGATATATTGATCTTTTACAGCTCGTTATCCAGCACGGATCGCTACCATGGCTCAGCGGGTAATATGGTAAGTACTCTAATGATACCTTACAATACTGAGTCCTTTTTGCGGAATAATAGTCTATTGATTTCAGGAAACTGATCGCGGACCACCGCCACCACGGGGAATGTACAGAAATATAGCGTATTTTTGACAATTTCGTGAAACAATTTAGGACCGAAAGTCATGACGTGAGATGACAAACATAGCTTTATGATTTTCCTAGCTATTATTGATTGAATTGAATATGAACATGGGTAGATCTTTTTCCTCGATCGATATTTTTATGATGTAGCTTGTAGTTTGAGTATAGTGCAGTACGTGCCAAATGTCTAGTCTTTTTATGTTATTTATTGTTCAGAAAATAAAACTATTTGTTCTTGAAGTTAACGGTGTTAGCCAAGCAGCGCACCACACCATTCGAATTTGAATGTGATAAACTACGGAAAAGGATAACAGATACACGAGGCAACCTTCAAGTTCTGACTGAGCTGAATCACTTTGCCCACAATCGGACACTCTATGGCAAATACAAATCCTCCTGACGTCTTCTGAAGGTTCCACAGCCAAAGCGACTTAAAGGCCCATTCCACGATCAAATTAATGTGAATTTTGTGCACGCCCAATTCGTGGGGAGAGAATCCGCCATTGAAATGTATAATCTAAATAGTCTGGACGCCGAGGTCTGAAAATTGCTTTGGAGATAAAAGAGCATGGAGAAACGAGCGAGACGCAGACAACATGTTCGCACAGGGTGAGCATGAATTGATGAGAACCACCCGCGGGCGCAAGTGACACCAGGTATGTCGTGATCACAAACCTAGCTACCTCACTGACAAGGAGAGGCCGCATGATGGCATAGGCGTTCCTCAAGGGAAAATCACACTGAGGTACGGTATGACTGGATTCCCTTAGGCACTTTTTTGCACCTTATAACTTTGTCAGTAGGGTGCTTCTCGCCACAGAGGCGCCACATATCGTCTACATGGACCCTCTACCCTCTCGACTACCACCCTTACTCTTTCATGAACGTATGTTATCGCAAATTTTGTCGTTATACGTGACCACTCCACCATGTAATTCGTTCCATGCGTACCTTTGGCCCCGCCCAAGTCTCCGGGAACTGTCCACAAGTTGAGGTGTGTGGAGGTGTTTCTTGTCGGAAACTTAATTCCCATGCATGGACTTTCAAACTGCATCTAATAATCACACATGATATATTTATGTGAGGAAGAAGTAGATAAAGGTGAGCGATAACATTCCTAAAACCAGTATCTTATCCAATTCGTGTACACTGACAACTTGACAATCTGTCAAACGGCCACAACAATCCTCAACTACGACAACACTCGAAAAACTATCTGAGTTACCCTGAAAATGAGCCGAAACGATAGAGGAACAACAATTCCTGAAGTACCAAAGTCAAACAAGTCTTCGCGAATGCGCCGTGCATTCTCACTGCATAATTTCATGCCTTTCATGGTACTTCTAAACGAGTTCATCGGCCCGAGAAGGATGAACAGGACAGCTGACTAAACGCAGGGACCAAAAGGTTGCTAGATTTCTTACTATAAATCCTCAGTTCCAGCGTAATCTGATACTGATACCTTCAGCTGCACTTTATGCTTTACATGTTGATAGGTCGTTTCTCAAAACTGAAGCAGATTAAGACTTTCACTTTTCGGTCATGAGGCTATCGGATAGTGAGGCACTTCTATTAGCAGGAACATTCCCCAGCAGAAGTCGTGCCGAAGAATCTATTCAGTGGATAATAGAGTAGCCATGGATAGGGTAGCCCACGAATGTCACAGAGGTGCAGTTGCTGCGGCTTGAAAATGAGTGACAATGGCGGTATGGTCACACAAATCATGCTTTTGCGACTAATTAGATTTTCGGACGAGTTACCTCGCGCACACCCCATCATACCAAAACTGCATTACGGCCTTACGGCCTAGTTCGAATACGCAGCGGATTATTTCAGCCTCGAAACAGGGAAGTTCGTACAAGTCGTCCGTCCCCACCCTTCCTTATTTCGAGGAAATCCCTACTAAGAGCTTCATCGGCGGTTTTCTTTGCTTCTTTTCTCATTTTTAGTTCACTCGGCATTCATAACTTCATTATCGACCGTTGTGATCTCACAAATTGGATTGTGGGAGTTGGCTTCTGTATATCCGTTTTACAGATTGTCAATTGGTGTGATTGTGTTTTACTATTTTGTTTACGATGTCACGGACATAAGCAGAAACACTTGGCTCACTAAAGGAGAATATTATTGTTTTCGCGCGGTCTCCTGTCAACCTCTAAAGCTTTACGTGTGAAACTCTACCTAACTATAACTAAGTCAATGGTAAGCCCGACTCCTCTGCACAATCGTCAATTGGTACTTTTAGGCCTGTCCATTCAAGAGTACCTCGCCAGTGTCTTGCGGCTTACCACTGCTCTTTTCATGTTGTGTTTGCTAAAGTAGCAGGAGAAACACTGAATCAGCTTCCAGGGCTCAGAAAAGTGCCCACGAACAAGAGCTTTTATGGACTTTTCTGAAACCCGATACGGGTTTCAGCTAACAAATGGCCGGCTTCTATTTCTTCCATAGAATTATTGATCTCACGGGAGGCTCTTTACATAGAGCTCATTAGCGCTACACACCGACAAGTTTGGGGGGAACCGGACTGGGTCCTTATCGCTTACGGTCATTGTCACAATACCTAGATTGCCCGGAAAAAGCTCCATATTTCGAACTCTTGAATATTTGCCAATCATCCAGTATCCAGAAATATCCCGGAATACGCCCAATAAGGCCCTAAAGCACAGCAAACTCGTCCAATACAGATAGGCAGACCGTCCTTTGTCCGACGGGATCGCGTATCAATGTCCACCTATAGGCAGCCACTTCCGTAACCTCTTCGCGCAGGTTCTGTAGTGTGGTGAGCACACGGTGGTTAATCGGCAACCGTGTGAATTATTTGCTCAGTTGGGGGGTGATGGTGGGGGGCGGTGGTAGATTTCGGGTTGACGGAGAGGGATGGAACGCAGCGGCTAGTGCACTATCCTCCGCCGAAGCTGCTCTTGTCACTGCTGCTTCAACTATTCGCAGCTTCAGTTCAGGCCACCTACACTACCTGTACATTCCATTCATTCCATTTTGTTTGGGAAATTGATTTTTTCGCGTCATGTGATTGTTTTAGCTCTACGGTTCTGCTCATGACATCATCTATGCCATTTCTCTCAGCTGCACGAGGGAGAATTAGTCAGTTTTTGCGCCTCCTCCTCAAACATGCTAGAAGATCGCTTCGAGTATCATTACTCAATGACGTGATCTGTCGTGGAGCCCCACTGAACGATCTCATTGCTGCGAAACCGCCATGTCGCAGAACTCCTACCTGCGCTTGGGACGGAGCAACAGGATCGAGGCTAAAATGTAGCGCAATATCCATGAAAAATAAAGATAGGTTAATCCGGCCGTGGCTTCCAGCCAAATCCAATAGATCCGCGGTATTTCTGCCGAACTAACTCATGTATTAAGCATCTAATGGCCACTAATTACCTTCTGCGGTTACTGTAGGGCTGCGTCAGCAAGCCAGCATCCTTTCTATCAGCTTCCGCTACCCGTCCATTCAAGCTCATGAATTCGGCCGGTCCTGTTCGTAAGAATTTGGTCCAAGTTGGGCTCTACATCCTCTTTGCCACACGTTTTGGCCAACCTTCTCAAATTCAGGTAGCGCTCGAGCAGTTTTGACAGGAACTCAAGAAGAGATTAAATAACCTCCTAGTACAGCAGAGGGAAACGCTAGCAGAACCTGGGTAATTGGTATGGGTTAGCTCGAACCCACCCACGGGGGCTATGTCTGCTACGGTACAGGAAACCGGGAGAACCCGATCTCATAGAAAAGGCAGCAACTTTGCTAATACATCGACCTGTCTTACAAGCTATTGTGAACGATCAATGACAACGGGATTGCCTTGACAAGTCCCCCCCCCCTCCCGAAGAAAAATACATGGCGCAACTCAATTGATTAGGCAGCGCAAATGACTTCAGCAATTTATGCACTTATGTGTTAGCAAGTCCCAAAAGTGCAACGTTTCCGTCTTTGCAAAAGTTCCCTGTTCTCAAATATCATCCCAGAGACTAGATATAGCGCCAGCGCCGCGAATCGCCCACATGCAGCCGTTAGTTTGCTTACCTCAGATGATTACGGTAACTATTAGATGATGGGTGCGGCGTGGATTTTTGATACGTGTAAGTGGCGCGGAAACCTGATGATTCCTTCAGCAGCCATCGCTACCTCTCTCTCTCGCTCTGACACCCCCTCATTTTCACTGATTACTATCCTCACCAATCGATAACAGACTACTGTTTGCACAGGAGCTGCAGCATCCTCCAGCTTGTTTGTCATCATCTCTCGCGCATTATTTCAACCGCAACCTACCATCGTTGAACATCGAAGATGAATTCCACGACTTCTACGATTGATATAAATAGAAAAATAAGCCTGTGACGATTATTCTCGCCAGAATGCGCCACGTATAACACTTTCATTCAGTATCGTAGGGTCAATTGAAGGCAATGTGACCTATACAAGGCCAGTGAGTCTGCCAAGTGCTCTTTGTGTTTCTAGACAGGCCCTGTAGAACTGATCTAGAGGGACGTAATACTTGGTTTTGGAACTCTACGGTGATTCCACGGTCTGCGTAATAGGAGACGCCGCTTCCAACAGCACCTCT